CCACCCCCATCCCCATGGTTCCCCCCCTCCCCTCCCCTCCCCTCTTCATCGAGCTGTCGAGCGCCGGGGGGGGGGAGGGGGCAGGGAGTACATAGCACATGTGAAACGGGAAAAAGCCGCGAGGAAAATATGACCTCACTCTCTACTATTTTCTTAGATTTGTCCCCAACTCCTACCAGTTTTTTCCGGAATTTCCCGAAATTTCCTACTTTTACTTTTGCTGTCAAGTTGGGGGGAGGAACATGGAACAGGAAAAACCGCTTAAAGTCAGCAACCTCTCTTGGGAGGTGAGAAACCAAATACGACCCCCCCCCCTCTTCCCCGTTAGGTAATCCCAGCAACCGACGCAGCGACGTCTCATGGTCAGTGCAATTAAGCGTGGGATTACGCTGCGCCTTGCGGTACGCAATTACACGAGCGACGGCTGGTAATTTTATGTAATGTCCTTTCATTTTTGATTTCATCACTGTTTTTGCTTGATTACTTCCTGTTGCAATCAAAGTTATGTGTTCTCTTCGGGTTCTTCGCATGTGTTTACCCTTACTATCTTCAAAATCATGCTGTATCTCGTAACTATTTTTCTAAAAAAGAACCGAGAAATCGGAAGTTATCGCCATACATGTTATATGTTGTATTAGGCGTCTTTCTCAGGTAATTCTCCACCGATTTCTCTTTTAGAAATGCTGGCGCGATCGGCTGTTCGTCGACTTGTTCACGTTAGAAGTATAGCTTCAACATCTCGAGACCCTCCCAGCCCCAAAAAGGTATTTAACCTTCACCTGGATTTTCTACTTTGTAGGACTTGTAAACATAAGCAGAAAAAAGATTGGTGTCTATTTCAACATCGCTCTAGCTGTAGCATCATGAGTTCGTATCTTTATTCAGAGCTACCAATTTACAAGCAGGGATAGTGTATGAATATTTGCTAAGTAGGACGCAGAGCGACGAAAGTAACAAAAACCCGTTCGAACATTGCTAACAAAGTAACCCATAGCTTCCAGCTCCATTATGAGAGCGCGTCAAATTCCTGAAATAGTGCTGATTTTGGAATTAGTAGAATTCCGCAGGCGAATACACTAGTTGTTAAAAACATACTGTACATTTATGTACGTGAATCGTGATCCTTACCATATGCTAGATGAAGGGTCCGCAACTACAACAGCACGCCACTTTCTATGGCGAAATTGCGCAGGTACGAAGCTGAAGGGTAGTGATATCGGGTGTCGTCTGAATGATTCGCCCACGCTGCCGCACGGACAGCCACACGCCGAACCATAGCTGAACGCGTTACTTGTCTGCGCCCTCTCGCTTCTGCTTGTTCTCTGCTGATAAGTGCGTGTTTCGCAGCGGGATCTTGGGGTTACAAGCAGGGTACGCCATCGTTGTGATGATCACAACGGGGAGAGGTCGTATTTGACCGCGAGGGAGGGGGTCGTATTTGGTCTGAGAAAATTTTTTTTGGTTGATTTCTCTTGTTTCACGGACGGTATTTTCGGAAAAAAATGGAAAAATGGTAGGAAGTTGGGAAAATCTAGGAAAGTGGTAGGTAGCATGGGGAGGGGGGTCGTATTTGAGGATAGAATTAGGGGGTCGTATTTTTCAGGAAACGATCACAACGCGATACCGTGCCTTGGTTACAAGGGATGTGCCTACCGTATGCTCTCTCTCGCTGTGAGGGTCTAGAGATGTATCCTTATCGCATCTTTTGGTCAAGCATTTACTGGGAGGATAATAACGAATAGGATGAGAGAAGGAAGGAAAAAGGAGGAGGCGGAAGGCTTTGCAGTTGACAGATAATACCCTGAGACCGGGATCTTGGTATCGACGCAAGTGCTGCACATTAGGGATAGCGCGAGCGGAGTAAAGAGACCCGACATTATCACATCCACCTCGCACACGGAGGGACCGACCCCGAGATAAGCGTACAAGTCGTCTTTAAAAGGTGCCAGGATTTGTCTGTACCTAGGCGGCTGTGTAGGTTAACAAATTCATTCCTGCAAAATGGACGTTTTCGCATTTCTTCAAGAGCAGTCTTCCACATTAGGTTTCCTTCTGACCACTTGCGCATTTACGTAAATCGTCATGTGACGCTTTTTCTATTGACGTTTTGTTTCGCGGACCTGTAATGGACCAAAGCTTTCCTCGTGGGAAAAATGGCAGCTTTTGCATGGGTTAAGGCACAACTATTTCTTTTGGATGAGCTTTTTGTGCGTAAAGATGAATGTTCAGTTTTTCTAATCGTTAGTTACAGATAACACTTGTAGACGAATACGCACAAAAGCTTCTATCGACTCCACCTTCACGGTTACCGAAAATGTTTCTTCGCCTCAAAGCTGCCTTTAAACACAAATTCAGTAAAGATGAATTAGATCCCATGTTAAAGAACGTGAGTTTCTTCTTCAACGATCGTTTTGATGTACTGACAATCGTTAGCTGCTCAGGCACACGTTCGTTTTGGAAGGGTGGGTGCGTGCGGCTCTTCCCTGGCACCACATGCTGACACGGATGGGTTTAGATCTTATATGAATGGAATCTGTGGAAATGTTCTTTTGTGAATATTTTACCTGGGAGGTGTACAGAAGCACTTTTCTATGGCTAGAGGTTTATTTTTTTTCATCTGTGGTTGGTACTCCACGAGCAGTTGGTTACTCGACCGGTGCAACTTCTGACAAGAAGATGTCTAAATCGATTCCCTTTTATAGACTCTGGAGCGCAGAATAGTTCTTTTTCGAGATGTGAAAAACGGCCCAATATGCTCATTGGATCCCTCACCAGGAGCTCCTTCTTCCCTTTACACTCAAGCGAACATTCTCATCTTCATTACTGGAATTTCAGTTTTGCCCAAAACTTTGAATGCGCAGTACCCTCCTTAAACGGGCCTGGCAGCCACTTTATTACTGCGGTAATTCACTTAATTTTTCTGACTTTTGACCAGTGTTTTTTGCAGTTACTTGACACAGCCTCTGCTCAACTCTATTATAATTGTGCGAACAATTACGACTATGAAAAGTTATGCGAGGGTAAGATTCCATATTGCCAACGTGAATAAACACATGACTATTTTGTTGCAGCTTTTGGTTTACCTGATTACATGTCGTCTTGGTACAAATTAACTCTAATGCATTGCTGGTAAGAATTTCTAAATGTTGGATTGTTTCAGTAATTGGTACTTATACTGTTTCATCCCATATACTTTAAGGATGGTCCTACTGAGAGTGCATACATCACTTGATGCCCCAGCATACCTTCGGTTACAACATAGTATGCTTGCTACGATGTGGTTCGACATTGATTCTAGGCTGAAAATCGTTGGGGTATGTGGCTTCATTTTTCTTTTTTCTTTTATTGCTGTTTTTCCCTGTTATATCACTCCATCTCGCTTTTGTTTTTCAATTGTTGGTGCTCTTTTTCAAGGAAGAAATAAAGCAGTCTTTGACGTCAAAGTCCGACTTGAAGAGCATGCACGGTCTTCATCTGCAAACTTTTTTTGAATACGATGAGGTAAGAGTCCAAGTGCGACTCTCTATGAATCTTAGCATGTTCCTTGGGGGCTGTTAGCAAATTTGTTTTAACTTCCACCAAGGTTGTTAACAGATCTCTACTCGGCTGAAGTTTCAGCGCGTCGCCTTCTTTGCCGGGAAAGTCGGGAGATATTTCCGAAACTACTCGTCCACACGCAATTTCAACCTGCAGGGGAATTTCAACTGGGTCGTGAACTACTATGGTGACGTCATGGAAACGATAATAACCAACCTTTAGGAAGTCGGCCGGTGAGGTCTACCTGTCCCTGGAGTTACTAGAGAAGTGGTTTTAAGGCCCTGTTAACACTTCTGGTGTCAAGCTAAAACAAATTTGCTGACGATGAGCTAGATTAAGCCTAAAACTTCTTTGGTTCTTATGTCAGCTAGAGCCGGCGCTAAAGTAGATGGTCGATGAGGCGAAATTTTACCCTGATGGCTGTAGTAGTTTGCGGTGGTCTATCGCCTAGTCTAACGAAAGCACGGGATCACTATCTTGGTTAGAAGTTTAGACGAGCAGCCTCAATGCCATCACATCACGACAGTAATTCCAAGCCAGCCGAGTATTTCGTAGCTAGTTGGCTTGACACGCTCTAGCTTTTACGCGTTAAACCCATTGCTTTCCAGCTCGCCGCAACATTGGACCAGAGATATGCAGCCCCTTGTTGTGTGTTCTCATCTGATATTTCAGGGCTTTCTTGCTAACGATCGATTGCTAGCTGCAGCACTGTGGCGTTGTCTCTACATAGGCAGACCTTGTGATCCTATACATGTGTTGAGAGCGATTGCCTACATCCGATCAACGGTATGTTTTGGCAGCATTTAGATTTAGGTTCGTTCGGTTTAGATTTAGCAAGGCTGGCTAACATCTTTGTTGGTATCCCTGAGGTCCCTCAGGTGAGGCCAATTTCATTTTGCGTAGTCTTTTTATGTGATCATTTCACTTTCTTGTACAAAGGTGAATTCAAATCTACTAAAGTTGTTTTCCTACTCACCATTATCTTCGGAATCAATAGAATCGAGACTGTTGTTGGGGCTTCTATCATACTTTCGCAAAAGTTTTTTTGACGCGAACCGGCTTGGTAGGGGCATTTCGCCAGTGATCTTTGTCGATGCCTCTTGTGAAGGGCGACCTGTGAATTTTGAAAAGCTAAGAAAGCAGAGCTTTGTTTGCATTCAAAAAGAATGGGAATGGGAACTGGCCAAAAACTAGCTATAGAGCATTGTCATCTTCCACCTCTCCCGTCCCGCCCTTCCCCCCCTCCCCATAAGTGAAACGGCGCCGCTTTCCCTTCTTGTTGCTGCTTTCGTGGTAATGTTATCCATGGCTGCGTCAGTTTTCGGGTGCTTCAGCCTCCACTCATGGTCTAAATGAATGCACCTAGTAGAAACTGTTCGGGGTCACTTTTTTAGGGTTAACTGGCTTTAGCCGAGCGAATATATCTAAGAGATTTTGAGTGTTTTCGATTTACTTACTACTGCGCCCAGTCGCCAAGTTATCATAGGACATCCATACCATAACAAACCTGCCTCCTATTTTGGATTCCGTGTAAGATTCTTCGTCATGTTCATATTTTTAACGAAGCATATTCATTTCCTTGAGCCAGGCCGCGCTTTGTCACATTAGACCCGGAAAGCGATATTGAGGGCTACCAAAGTTATTGTAATTCATTCAGAATTTTTTGGTATATTATTTGTTTTATGTGCTCTAGATATAGAGCAGTTTTCCAGATGGCATGGCTGGATACCCTCGACCTAAAAGACTTAATGGCGGACGGTATAAAGGAGTGGAAACAAGTAAAACCAAAGGACTCCATACAAGATGCTAAAATTGAGACCGAGATTGTAGAGGAAGAAGATGCTCGTAAAGTTGGAACCCAAACAAGCCGATGATTTTTGCTATTGTGCATCTAGTCTATTTCATTACAAGTTGTTAAGTTATGGTTATAGTCTGTTTTAATGGATTTTCAAGCACCGAAGAATCGGTCAATCATTGCCGGTGCGATTAGTAGTTTTATTAGGTTAGTATAGGTTGCCTTAACGTTTTATCTTTCTAAATGTAAGTGGCGCAAGCCGGCTGGAGACTCCTTTTGCAAAGAATGGACAGTGGGGTGAGGATTGAAGCAATTCGGCTTGATGGGGCTTTTATCCGGCTCCCACCGATTACTATCCAGTCTGACCTGTAAACCTTTGTAAGGCTGGGGTGGAGCACAGCTTCGTTCATACAAAAGTCCAAAGGTCTCTCCAGGGTGAAACGTGTCAGCTAACAGGATTTGGAGAAACTAGTGAACGAGAAAACCCTCGCCTCCCATCCCATCGCCCAGCCCCCCCCCCCCTAAACCGATCAGCACTAGATCTTGCCTAGGTCTGGGAACGAACCGGATCCGTTGTGGGCGAACCAAGGTTTTTTTGTGTGACTTTTCTTTGCGGTAAACACAGTTTTGTAGGAAGTTCCTCTGGCGGCTTGCCCACTGTAAGTTCTACTCGTTACATTTTTGTTGTGAACTCACCTCACATTTTTGTGAATGAATGCGATTATAAAATGAATTTATGATTTAAATGTGAACAGTGAATATGGATCGGTGTAAAAAATATTGGACATATGCAAAGCGCAGTCGCTTCATTATCTGAAGGGAGCCAAGGTGCAGATCTCTGTGGGAGGATTTATGATGTCACTGTATTTTCGCTCTGTTAAGAGATGCTTTTCTAGCCGTTATAGTCCGTGCCCTTCACCTCGTTTTAGGACTTTTTGCACGAACTTTTTAAGAGTACTGTTTGCTTATTCTAAATGACGTTCAAAGGAGGTAATCACTTCGGAGAGTCTTCGTGAAGGCTCCCCCCCCCCTTTTTCCTTCGTCATCAAGAAGGTAGTGACAGCCTTCGCTTGCAAAATAGATTACCTAATTCCAGACTATGGCCGAGTTACCCGACCTGGGAGGCAGATGCTTTTACGAGAGCTGTAACAGATTAGGTAGTTGCCTTCATTTTCATATTTATTCGCTTTCCTTGTACGCTCTCGTTGTTTCAGATTTCCTACCATTTACATGCCCACTTTGTAAAGAGTGTTTTTGGTCAGTTTGCGATTTGTTAACGATATTTTTTCGAAATTGTATCATGATAACTACTGTTTCACGCCGCAGTACGCGTTCCGAATGTTATCACAAGAATGCTGAGTTGTGGGCAAAAGTCGTGCCCCAGGCGGGAGTCGAACCCGCACCTCACGCTACGGGCGAGTGCGCTATCCGTTACGCCACCAGGGCCGCTCTTGACGGGTATGTGACAAGAGGATCGTAATTCGCCGCGCTGCTGGGCGTCGCGTGCGACGTCTCGTCTGCAAAGGACGATGGTTCCAGGTAGTAGATGGCGACAACATGCAATTAAGGACCGAAAACAGTAATGACTGTCTACGATGACGGGGTCTACATGAAGTCCGGTGCTCCATTCGACAGGTTAAAACGAGTTATGAAAACGCCGCGCCCATCGCCGCGCGTGGCGGTGCGGCAAATTACGATCCTCTTTACCGTCTCCCGTTCTCGACCTCTCAGCTCAACGGCTTTTATACCGATATTTCATGATATTTTTCCATAGACCTATAAGGTTGCATTATAATCTTATAGTCGACCCGCTAAGTTAATTAATTAAATTATATTGTATTAGGTCAAATTTCGGTCTCAAGCGTTTCCCAGCCATCGCAGGTCTGTCGCCAAAGGTCACCTCGCGACTTCGTGCTTCCTTGGGAGACTGCGTGTGCGCCAACTGATTCCAGGCGTTTGCTGAGTATGGGAACCGGTGATGACGCAGAAATAGCTAGGTGGGTGTGGAACGTTAATCCCCAGTCGTGGTGAAATAGACTTTGCAAGCCTGCTGACGTATCTGCAGCATACGCAAGAGGACCCAGCTCACTCAATGTGCAGTTGGAATGCAACGCTCCACACCCAGTGACGCATCTGGATGAGAGTACAGTAAAAGACAGAGGTAATGTTTGAGTCGAGGGTAGCGGTGATTGCCCACCAAAATGTGCGCGACCGGGCTTGATGACAGCAATTCCACGTTATCTCTGCTTCTGCAGGCATGACAGGTACTGAAGTGACTCGCGAGGTACTAAAGCAGGACCTAAACATGGAACTAGAGCACTGAACGATGGAGAAATTGGATGGTAGTATTCTACAATTTGCACTTCGTGTAGATATTGTAGGAGCCCTCCTAAGACAGAATTTTTGTTCTACTAGTTAGGTAGCCGTTGGCAACTGATATTGGGGTATGGACTGATATTGGTTGGCCTGGGCGTGACTTTACCGCGTGACAGGGGAGGAGGGGGGATTGAAAAAAGTGAGCGTATAAGAGGCGTGTAAATGTAGCATTCTTCTAACCTAAAATTCGCAACAGTGAAACTGGAGGCTCTATAGCCTGACGCTCATTCATCTTTGCTCGCTACTGAATACGCGATACGCACGCCACAACCACGCCATATACCGTACGGGCTGCTGTATGCCTAACCATGGCAACACTAGCCCGTCGGCCTGTAGCGTGGCTATGGCATACGTATCACGCCTCAAATTTCAGCTTTATTGTCCAGCAACCAAAGCAATTAAAAAGTTACCCTTCTAGGGCACGAATCTTCTTATTTCGCGCTGGCTCCGGGGAAAAACTCACCCATGCGCGTTGCGGCGCGAATTTTTGACGTCACCGCGGCGGCAGGGCGAAGCGAAAGGCGATGGCCCGCGCCTCCGCCCCAGTCAGCAGCCGCTTTTAGGCCGCGTTCATACTTCGCGACAGCAGCGGCGATCGCCGCTGCTGTCGCGAATTATGAACGCTGCCTTATGAGGAAGGGAAAAGAGGAAAATAGAGAGAGAAAGATGATTGAACAGATAGTGGATGCTTACAGGTGAGTTAGTGGTAGTGGTGAGAGAATACAGAAAAGTCGACTATCAGGGCGAATTACTTCAGCAAATGGCAAAACTGGCGAAATAGTTCCCTTCGATTGTGAAAACGACGCAAACAGCTCTCATGCAAACGTTTAAGGTGAGGTTTGGCAAACTGCCAACAGTTGGATTAACGGTATAACGGTAATCGAAAAGGATGTTTCGTCTGTCGTCCATTTATTGAAGCAATTCGCCCTGATAGTCGACTTTTCTGTATTCTCTCACCACTACCACTAACTCACCTATACGCATCCACTATTTGTTCAATCCTCTTTTCTCTCTTTTTCCTTCCACATAAAAGCGGCTGCTGATCGGAGCACAGTGGCGGAGGCGCAGGCCATCGCCCTTCGCTCCGCCCTGCCGCCGCGCTGACGTCAAAACCGCGCCGCATACGAGCCCGGGTGAGTTTTTCCCTCCACCGCTTTGCGTGTGGTAGGATCCGATTCACAAGTAATTCACCGTGTGTGGCAACGTGGTAAACATTGCTGATCGCGTTTATTTGCTTCATACCTTCAATTGTTACAGCTCTGACCATCGATTCACTCATGGATGTGACAACTCAAAGCAGTTCGACCCGGATACTGCCGTGCCTTCTTCGTCTGGACCACTGCGTAATTTTCTATGCTCCTTCAGTGAATGCTCTGGAGCGGAAAGTATCAAAATTGTATGTCCTTACTGCGAAAGAAACTATTGTTTGAAGTGAGTTTTGGAGAAGATGCCGCTAACGTGTCCCAACCCAAGATAACTTGGGATTTCAGGCATCGTCATGCCGATGAGCATTCTTGTGAAAGTCGTCCCGAAAAGGTTTCCAAACCTCGGGTTCTACCGGTCATTCCTTCCGCAGCCCCCTCAGCTGGTGACGAGAAGCCAATTGTCAGGGCGAAGCCGGCAGCGGTAATTTTTACGTCGCTGTAATAATATTCAGTTGTTATACGAATATGGCAGAGTATTCTGTGCCTTCCTATACACCGATTTTGATAGCTGCAACGCCAGGACGTGCTAGGACTGGCTTTGGCCCAGCTCTTTCTCCACCAATTGTGAAGCTGGCAGGCGATCCACTATTGGTTGGATACGGAGAACGTTGCGTCGAACCTAACCCTGTGACACTGCCCAGCGTTCGTGGCGGACAATATATGCATATTATGATCTTTTCATTGCAGGCTCTCACTGAAGCGGATCGAAAGAAAATGGATAAAATTCTCATAATGAAGCTGAAGATGAATGCAAAAGCGACGGCCGACGTTCCTTCCGAGGAGCGAATGTTTTTGTTTGTGGAGGGTGACGACCTCAGTGATCGAAAAGCTGTAGTGGTCAGCAAGGTAAGTGGTTTAGCGTATTTCAGTGTGATTAGTTGTTTATCATCTCATGGTCAGTAGCAGTTTATGAGCTGAGTGCGAAGAAGTTATATCCACGTTGGGACATTAGGGGGACGCGTCGAAGGGTTACTTGTAAGCAAAGCGAGTCTCATGTTGGAAATGCCCAGTGAGGGAGGAGGGGGGGGTCCATTAGCTTTTAAGGTTTTTGATTTCTCTCGGCTTTCTCTGTTTCAAATGCGCTATGCCCCCACCCCCTACTCCCTCCCCTCCCCCTCCCACGATGACGGCAGGTAGGAGGTACCACCGGAGGTGGGGTTGCGTTTTGCAAAAATTTTCTCCAACGGTAGGAAGTGCCCCGATTGCAGGCATCTACATCACTAGTGTAGCATTCGCACCAGAGCCTTCTTGCTCTAGCATGTGAACGAGCGTGGAAGCGTCGTAGTATTTCGGGTCAACTAACTAGCAGTCATTAACTAGTTTGTAGGCGTCGCCGCAGCGGTGGATGCGACGCCGAACACCCATACCCATGGGAAAAAAGTGAGCTAGAAGCTTGCTAAAGTTTGTCTGAAACGGTTATTAGCATGGGATCATATGTAGCGCCGGTGCTTCATCTTCCTCTGACATTATCACCAGATTTCTGACTGACACCGAGGCGCGACCGGTATTCGCTCCTCCCCCCCCCCAACTACATTAGCGCAGAGCTAGTTCAATTTTATCCTGAACTGGGTATAGTTGACTCCTAGTCATTGATTATACTGTTTCAGAAGTGGACTGTAGGGCGATGTGCATCAAATATCGTGAAGACGTTATCCATGGATGAGTCCAAGGTGAGACAGACGCTACAGAATGTTTGTTGATGGAGTGTTACTATTGAGAAAGTTTGCATGAATAAGTAGTCGAATCGTATGTTGTAGTTTTATTGGCCATTTCGGTCAGCTATTTGAGCAGCCAGGAATATTTTATATATTCTAGACGCTTCACATGTTCATCGCAGGATCAGCAGAGCCATTGGACTACGCGGAAACGGTCTCGAACCATTTAAATGATATGGACACCATTATTGTTCAACTTGTCTAATACTTGCGTTTTTTTAATGGTTACTTTCACGAACTCTTGTTTGCGTCCTTAATCAGCAAAAAGCAGGGACGCGCGTCCATGAGCGCTGTAACCACTTTTCAAAAGTTCTGGGCTTATCGCTGTCCGGCTTTGGTGGAAAATTATCTTTTTTTCTTTTTGCTTCCGCGCGATAATAGCTTACCGGTTACGCCAGCTTCAGCCATATACTTTTCCTAATTTAACTGTGTCAGAAAGTATAGGATACGACATTCGGTGATACGCCCCAGTGGATTCAGGAGAGAGAGGTCGGTAGATAGGCTAAGCCCCGGCCTTTCTGTATTTCTGCGCCCTCCACTAATAGTGTCAGCCCAACGACCTTGGCTTTAAACAGTGCAGTTTAGCAGGGAACGATGTGGCCCAGAATATCCCACTCCTTCTCCCAAGTATACGAGCGCCCGGGTATGTGACAAGACAATCGTAACGGGGCACTGGTGGGCGTGGCGAGCGACGTCGCGCCCGACAGATAGAGCTGTACTGCCACACCCTTCTAGTTTCATCGTAAAAGAAGTGGGAAAGTTTGATATTGCTCGTCGTGGAGTTTCTTAGCGCCAGTTTCCTGCTGGAGCGCATTGGGAACTCACTGCGCGCCGCCGCACGATTCGCCGATGCGCGACGATTTACGGTCGTCTTCGTCTCCCCAAGCACATGGTAGGGATTTTTTTAGAACGGAATTCTCCACGCAGCTCAAGCTCATCTATGAATCACCTCCCTTCTGGCGGAGGACGCAAGCAGAAGTTTGTGGATTTTCAATTGCAATTAAGCTTGCGATCTTACTTCGCGACATGAGCGATCCAGTCGCAAACTGTGGAATCGCGCATCGAGACCAAATGCGCTCCGCCCCTGTCGGGCCGTTGCAGCTGTTAACTCAACCATCACATTCGCAGTAGAACTTCTTCCGGTCATTGTTTTTCAACGACCAGCAATGAAGCTATATAGATCGGAATCGCGCGACTAAATCGCTGGAGTCGCGGTGTATGAACGCGACCTAATATGCAATATGTACCTCTGACTTTCGGACCTCACTGATTTTAGGTATCATTGCTGTATTTATTAATGCGGGAACTCATTTCAGAACCTTTTATAGGCTTTAAATAAAATGGTACAGGATGACAATGAGGACAAACAGTACTTCCGCGAGAGAAAGGGGCAAAAGTAAGTACAGTCACATAATAACAAACGCTTTGGTCATAGAACGCATAGAGCAATGATAAAGATACAGTAAAAATCGCTTGACAAAAAAATCGATTATATACTTGTCACGGAAGCACAAGCTTTGTAAAATGGCACAGAGTTATTGGCGTTAACGTTAACGCTAAGGCAAGGAAAAATTAGGGGAAAAGGCAACAAAACATACCAGACCACATGAACCACATGGTTTTAGCAGTAATGTGATGAATTGCCAAAGCCGTCATATACAGAAAATTCATAAAGTATAAACGCATCATTAATTGCTTATGGCCTTGTTCATGGCGGATCGCAACTCGTTGAGACCAGCCGTGAACAGACCTAACACAACCACAATCATCACAATTTGATACTATCACAAATCGTAAGATATTACAGTAGAGCGATCAAGTAAAGCCGTTGGTTTGTAGGTGATGAGATTAAGACTAGTGAAATGAAGTGTCGGGGGGGGGGTAAATAAGTCTGGTTAAGCTCAAGTTAAGCTCACTGTTTCAGCAGTCGGTAGTATCATTAAATACCTGGCGATCTAGTAGTACTGGACGTTGTCTGGAACGTCGCGAAGGTAAACTACCACCACTACGGCTATTCCACTCATTCCATACTTGACAATAGTTGAAAGCTGCCGCCGCTGATGGATCAGACGAGTCGCGTTCGTGCTCAGCTACAGGATCATCGATCGCTGTGACAACACGACTGTTGGTATGCAGTGTTTGAGATTCAGACTGCTTACGACGATGTGTAGGTGGATGCGACTTGTCAGCGTCAGGCTTACGGAATGTAGCAGGGGACGCTGAGGGAAGCGGATGAAGGCGATCGGATTCAGATGGTTTCTCTTCGATGAACTTCTCGAAAGGTGGAGACAAAAAGGAGCTGACATCGTCTTGAGGGGTTATTATTGCGGATTGTACACCAGCTCGTCGCATCTTCTTCCTCGCTCTCAGAGAAACACGTGGACCCGCTTGGGCATTAGCCTCTTGCCTGAAAACCGTAAATTTTAGAGCTCAAAACTGATACGATTTTCTACAGTGAAACTTTCTTTAACCGACGCCATCTACCGTACCTAGTATTTCGTGTAATGAGAGGAGAGTTGTGAAGGTTCTGCAGCCTCGCGCCGCAGTTTGGCGTAGTGCACGTTATGTAAGCCGGTGACACCAACGAAGTTGGGCGATCGACCGCTGACGTCGACGGTAGGGCGGAGGGGGCTGGTATACGCGGTCTGAAATTGGAATAATGAGGCCTTCGAGTTGTTACTCCCTCAGGCAGCGTTCAGACTTCGCAATAACGCGCGTCGACGCGCTACCATTTCAACAGCGCTCCAATGCTACAGACGGAAACGTAGCCATAGTCTTCCGGAGGGTATCGATCGGCACCGACCTCTACCGCTCCGGAAGACTATGGAAAAATAGAAGTGAACACGTTGCCCAGTCGCAGTCTCGTACCTTCTTCTATATTTCCCAAAACACTACCGGCAAGCACCGATCGATACAGACAGTACGATTAGGCAACGAGTACCCTCCTATTCTCTTCTACTCTCTCGAGCAGTAGCAGCCGGCGTCAATCAATACCCCTCTATAGCCGCGTTCCCGTCTATAGCATTGGAACGCGCTTCCATGGTAGCGCGTCGACGCGCGTCATCGCGATGTCTGAGCGCCACCATTCTTCTGTTGAATCATAGATGTCTAGTCGTCAAAAAGTCGTGACATTTTTTGACCGGACCTAATAGCAGTAGTGTAAGTTCCAGTACGAGTTGAGCTTATCTTACTTTCTCTCACGTGATTGAACTTACTTTGAGGGAGGCGGTACCACCGCCTTCTCCACTGTAGGCGAACCATGAGTTGAACATACGGTAGTAGTCAGGGGTAGAGCCGGCAGCGGACCTTTGTTGTTGATGCGGAGAGCATTCTGGTACGTACTCGGCGTAGGATTGGTAATGGGAGGCACCAACGGCGATCGGGCTACCGTGGTAGGATTTTGAGCTTAAAATGGAAACGTGGTGGTTCTTGTGACGCCGAAAAGGTGATAACTTCAGCATAAAAGACAGCAAAAATAGGGAACTTTAATCATCACAGCTTACCTGGGAATAGCGTAGTGATAGGGCGGCGGTTGTGGGTGGGCGTAGAGGACTCGGTGATGGAACGGTGAAATTCCGGCTGGACTGACGCCACCGATGGGGCCGACTTCTGCCGTCGGGTAACGATGCATTTGGTATCGGTCGATGAGATCATAGGATTCGTATTCGGGGACACTGGCTGACATTCCTCCCTGAAATTGTGTTGAAAACCATCGGACAAATCACGTCATTGGGATGTCCTAAGGTGTAAAGCGCTGGAAATTCACACACATGGACAAACTAATAATTGTCACAAAACTATTAGCTAACAAATTTTTGCCTCAGGCTTTGAACTACAGTACTATGAAAGCATTAAGCAGTATTTGACTCCTAAAAGAACTTCAGTTCGGTATTTCAACCAGTAGGAGCTTCAACAAGTGAAGTTGACTCCTAAGGTAGAACACACACGGCAATTATCATTTCAACGAGTATACCGACTAATGGAACAGCAGGACGGCATGCACAATGAGCGAGATGGATAAGGTGAAGATATTTGCCAACAAAGGAGAAGTGTGCGTATGCTAATAGTGCACTTGGGGCAGAACAGTGTCACCGATCTAAGACGCGCACGGCTGCGTCACGGCGCAGTTATAATTTGACAAATGATACGTTTGCATTTGACCGTGCGCGGTTTAGATCGGTACAGCTACCTCAGAAACATGACTTATGCACACACGAGCCCAATCACTGTGCAAGGCCATGGTGGAGAAGCGTAGCGGTCGCGTGACGGTTTGCAGTGTAGTTAGTCTGTGGTATAAGGCAGCATTCAGACACCGCGACGACGCGCTGTAACGCGCTTAAATTGCATTAGCTCCTCACTCCTATAGACACGATGGCAGCCTCACACGAATGGATCGCTTGTGCTCTGAAAGAGTATAGGATAACTGGAGGTCAGGCGCTGCCCTCAGGCAATCTGATACTCTCCCTACCCTCTATAGTCTCCGAAAGCCCTGGCGGACAGTGCCGATCCATACCAGACTGGGTGGTTAAGCAGCGCGTACTCTCGTGCCGCCCTTCGCGCATACTGTTTCAATCAACAATAGGTCGGCACCGATCGACTGTGTGCGGCTGCACTCGTGTCCGTAACATTGGAAGCACTGTAGCATCGTCAGCGCGCGTCGTCGCGAAGTCTGAACGCTGCCAGAAGAGTATCGCATCAAAACAGCGTTTTAACGCTTGAATTTCCAAAAAAAAACAATATCTTTGACCAAATGACGCCTCCTTGACCACGGACAATGCACTATGATTAAGATTGCTTGGGAAAGGATAGGCAAGGATTGAGAAGATAAACTATTGGCTGTGAGGTAAGCATACCTAGCCTTTAGGCTACAATAGAATCGTGAATTCGCCACGATCAGAGGTGGATCGGTAGGTGATGAAGTGAACTGAAAGAGAATCACCGGCATATGTAGGCCGAGTTCGACACACATACACATACACTCATATCCCACAGTTGGAAAGGGCGTAGTTGCGTACATTATTTGTAAATGGCGGTGGCTGCGCTTCTGGTAGGATATCGACGCTTTGAGACAATTCTATTCACGTCTTTGTCCAGCAAAAAGAGGAATGGATGTTTCGAATAGAATTACTTTACGTGAGATGAACCTTACGCCATGTACAGATAAGGCACGCGGCCACGCCCTCCACATATCCGGGATATAGAGTGTAACTCATAGCGATGAAAATCCAACCCTAGGGAAACGTCGCTTTACAACAACTCGTGAACGAAAAACTATCAAAGAAAGTAACAAGCAATTCATTCATGTTCTAATTCATCACCAGCTGCAGTGCTGAACAAAAGTGCTTTTTTTCAGCATGGTGTTTCCTGAAAGCTTCCAAAAAAGGCAACATTTCACAACACAGAGAAACACCGAAAACCCTCGATGCAGTCTAAAAAAACTCGTAACTCTCGAACGTACTACTCAGTCCTCCCTTCTTCACCGCAGAGCCTCTTGGGTAGGACAAGGAACCTTGCTTCTTAAGGGAAGTGAGCATGACTGTTTCGGCACTCGGTTGTCACCAATGTTATTTGCAGAAGGGCTGAGTGGGGTGTGGTGAAACGCCTTGTGCTTCTCAGTATTATGGAGTGGCAAGTCTGAGCCTTCAGCACTGCAGCCAACGATGAAACGTTTGCCTACACAAATGACACCAGCAAGACACACCAAAGAACATACATGCTTCATAGATCTCTATTTTCCAGGTATCAGGAACCTCAACCAAGCATTACTAAAGACAAATTGTAAGGTAAAATATAAAAAAAGGTAATGTTTCAACCTGAGGCGTGTGAGAATAGTTTGGGGAGGCATAGATCCGCTGCGGTTCACGTCGTGCAGCACCTGGAGTTGTCGAGTGAGGTCCACGATTTGCTTCAGCCTCTTTCTCCCGAAGCCGTTCGTAGTGCTCGCGGATCCTGGAGGAGAGTATAACGTTCAAC